GTAGTATATATATATTAAAATTAATATATATATATATATATATATATATATATATATATACATATTTGATGAAAAATTTATTGAGATGAAAAATCAGAAAATAACTGTGGCAGTGAAAATAACATTTGGAAAGTTTACAAAGATGCCTATATTCTCATCAACTAATAATAATGTTTATTCAGCTTTGCGACTAATGTAATTATTTGTGTATGCTAAATTTGGAAAATAATTCTTTTCTTACGCGTGCACAAATAAAATATTTCTGTGCTCTCTCTCTCTCTCTCTCAAATAAAAAGTATAAAAACAATGAGTATCGCGTGATATAGAATCCAATTTCTTTAATACGATGGAAATGGATATTTTCTAATATCATTAAAAAGAGATAGAAAAAGAAAATTGAAAACGATTAGTTTTAAATAAATTAAATGAGAAAAATAATTATTTTTCGAGTTGTCGAGTTATTACGTCTTTTTGCTTTCCTATACGAGTAATGTAATCATTGTAATGAAATTGTGTACTCTCTTGTGGCATATAGGAAACAACTACGTTGAAATTAGCTAAATCAGCACATAATTAGAAATTTGGTTAGCTAGAAAAATACTCGGGCGACGGGAGGATGAAAGATTCCAGACGCTTCCTTGAAAGTCACCGGTTACGCCTCCGCAATAAAGAGGGTTCGTAAGGGCTAATAGGTATATGTGGAAAAGGAACTCTGTAAGAGAAATCTGCACATCTTTAATTCGAAAGCACGCCTTTAACCTGATAAATATATGACTAAAGGCTCAATTATATTCCATAATAATATCGCCTTATGTAATGTTGCAAATTAATTCAAATTAATTAACATTTGATTGACTAGCCAGTTTCAATTGATTGATTAAACTTAGTAATTAATTCAAATTAATTTTATACATATTTAACAACATCGATCAACTTTGCAAGTAACTCTGACTAATTATATACAATCAGTGAATGTATATACATTTTGCTATTAATTCCCTCTTAGGATTAATTTCTTAAAAGCCATTAAAGCTCTTTTTTTCTAGCAACGTTGGTGGTAAAAAATAAAAGGTAAAAGATGGCGTTTTGAAAGATGGCGTTGTCCTTAATTTTTTTACTTAACGCGTTAATCTGGGGAGGTTGTTGGTTGTCCTTTGATATGTACTTGAAAACTCAGAAGCAGTGTCATACTGACGGCGACATAGCGTCGGTTGACCTCTCGAGGATTAACTTCGGTTAGCCGCAACACCTATGACAAAGATGAAAGAATAAGAAGGAGAAGCAGAGTGTCTTTTTACTGCCGGCGCCGTCACGCACCGTCGATAAGCGCAGCTTCTCTGTGCGAACCGAGAATCCCGCACGCGGCCTTATATTACTTAGGGTTAGAGTGTCAAAAGTAGGCGATGCGCGCGAGACCCCCCTTGTAGCGTGGCATACGTTGTATTCTATTTGTACTGCGCCTGCAAAATCATTTCATATAATTAATATATATATATATATATATATAGTTAGTAAAACTCAATTTTTCTTATTAGCGTTAGCGAACTAAATGAAGAAGTCGATTTTGCGAAACGTGCAAAGCGTACGTGCGCGAATACACGTACAATGCGTAAACATTAAAAATAATATTACACCTATACATTTTTACAAGTATGTAAATCGTGTTGATAATCAGTTTCAATTTGTATCGCATCAAATAAACACTAAGAAAAATTTTATCAACATTTTATGAACATATATTCTTCATTTAATAAATGCTACTTTACTAATGAATAATCGTCGTTGTGAGTTGTATGTGAATTGTATGATTCCTTATGGCTTAGGTTATCATAGGATAATAAATAGACCGAGTATTATTTAACGATAATACTTTCGATAATTGACAAATATATTCCTTAGATTAGCCATCTGGCCTCAAATTCGATAAGAGATCCAAGTGAATACCGGGACATGGTGGTGAATACGCGGTATATACGTACTTGGAGTCTCTTAATCATTTTTCTCCTTTAGTGAGAGGCGAGGACATTTTTGAAAATGCGGTCGAGTGCAAAACGTTTAGCTGGACCGGGGAATGTAGCCACACCGAGGATCATTAAGCATACGCTTGTAATATGTTTACACAATGTTGTTTCTGGCGCAGCCATCAATCACGCCGAACGTCGCGGCGTGATCTCGTCCGTCGTTCCACAGAAGCTTCCAGATAGGAAGCTCTACTTCGTCGTTCCTCCCCATTTCGCTTCATTGCCGCTAGCTCGTCATTTCCGACAGTCACGATATCCATGATGTGAAGCCATGGCTGACTTCACTAAACTATCATCGTTGATGCATATAACTTCGATATTAGATATTAATTCCATTTGATGATCATGTGTCCACAACCGAGATGTGGCATTCGAAAAAGTCAGATGATTTTTACGCATACAAAGATTTCGAACCAAAGAAGATTTCTTTAATAAACTTAAAGCTTAGTCATTGTTACAGAAACATTTTATTCTATATCGAATGCGTTACGCACTATGTACGCACTATATACCTATATAACGTGCACTCTTTATCGTTTTCGTATTCGTTACATGTACAAAGATATTATAGACAATATATTTCTATTCTTGTAGATATAATAAAAAATGAAAGAGATCCATTTTTCATCACAAGATTATAAGCGTGTTGAATGCCTATAAAAATACCTTTTTAATTAAAAACAGAAAATGGACCGCGTTCGATTTCGTGAGAAAGGAAAAGTGGAAAGAGAATTTTGTTTGGGAGAAATAATTAAATCGGACGTATGTTGCGTTATTTGATTGTTTATTCCTCGCTGTAAAACATCCTTCCAACGTTATCGTGCTGAACGAGAACTCTTAAAAAGTTAAAGGCACAATGGTACGCGATACTCGGGCGGCATAATTTATTAAGGCACTTAGTAGCCACATTATTCTCACCAAGTGTCACGGCGCGTTTACTTTTCCGTCTTGGCTCGAGAACGTTTTAGGCTCGTTCGGCATTTGAGACACCAATATAAATAGACGCACTTTGCTCCTACAAAAGGCACTTACTTCTCCCACAGTCTTCCGCGAGAAAGACATGTCAGAGACATCGATCGGTCGATTCGTCTCTTATGCACGAATTAATTCCAATACTTGGCAAAACTTAAAAAGTCAAAGTTAATTCGCGAATGAGAATTGTATATATCGAGAGTTGTGTATTATCGATTTATATTATATTTTGTTCTTGTTATTGTTCTTGTATTTCTTCGCATTGTAATAATTTAGCATCGCACATTTTTATATGTATCACATACAGACTTGAATGCGAATCTGAATCTGACCTGAATCTGTTTATTAATCTATACACGTTAGAGCACTTTGCAAAAATATGTCGGTATATATCGTCCGTAGCTAAATGACAATAGTAGATATTGCCAAATGGCTAAATGTACTCACTTGCACGCGCATCGTACGTCACGTGATAGAAACACGGTTGTTTTATTGCGCTTAACTCGGACTCGAAACTTTGGTAACGCAATTCGAGTCCAAGCAATTCGGCTCGACTTTTGGTCAAATTATACTAATTATTAAGCATCATCGGTAGTTAACGAAATTATAACGAGACTAATCATCTCCAACAATTACGCACCATCTTCACCATCTTCACCATCTGCGTCAATTAAATAAGTTTATAGACCGTAAACTTCATAAACCGTTGTTATACACGAAAATGTAAGATTTGTACACGCGTACAAATCTTCGTTTCTTAATTTAAATATTATAATTCTTTACGCGAAGCGATTCTTTTAATCATAAAAATACACTAGTGGACCGCGAAAATACTATGAATATAACTCAACTTTTGACAACTCATTGTTTTTCGGATGCGATAAAGGAGGACGAGGACAAAGTCCTGAAAGATCACGTCGTCGCAAAAGATCTGACTGACGCGTCAGTCAGTAAGAGACAAATGTCGATTCTCGCGATCCATCAAAATGATTCTATGAAAAAACACATGAAAAAACACATGCGAAGTGCGAATTTCCCTTCCATTCATGGAATCATCTCCATCATTTGTGTTTTCAAGCACGCTCAATCCGTCGATCCGTGTTACGCTCAATCGACACAAAACGAATACATTGAGAAACAAAGATGATTAAATAGGTAAAAAGAGACGAGAGATGGTCTCTTATTACCGCGATCCATAGAGAGACTGTGCGCTCGAGTGTGGATGTTGCGGATGTTGCGGATGTTGCGGATGTTGCGGATGTTGCGGGTGCGTCGGATAATGAGCCTGGACCGAGTTGACGTGCGCCGCCGACGACTGGCCATGATGGCTCGGATAATGCGGCCAATGGTTACCTGCGCCGGCTGCGCCGTAAAACTGATGGTGCTCCTGAGAAGCGGCGGATACCCCCGAGATCTGCATCGGCGTCGGCATTGGATTGTAACCGGGCGGGAGCACGGCACCCGCGGCACTTCCGGCACTTCCGACGACCACCGTGGCCGGCCTTTTAGCGGGGCTCTGCATCCCCCCGACGGCCGCCACGCCGTCGCACTCGTCCGATTCGCAATCCCGAAAACCTTTGGCGAACGGATTACTAGCGATCTTGAGCTGCGTTATCCGATGATTCTGGTACGCGGTCACCGCGGTGAATCTGGTCTCCGGGAAGGAAAACGTCTTGAAGTTTTCCGTGCGAGGATCCGGCGCCGAACCCGGCGGCGAGGGAGCGACTATCACGTGGCAGCGCGGCTGGTAACGGTGCATCGAGTTTAAGATAATCTGCAAAGTGAAAAGACCAGAGATCTCAAGATACTCGGATATTAGGACCTCCAACTCCACTATTTATAAACTTATTTATAAACGTGCTTGAGGTGCGAGGTAAAACGACGTCTAACTAACGACGATTAAATTCTTTCTTTCTTTCTTTCTTTCTTTCTTTCTTTCTCAAGTCTGTCTGTTGAACAGACAGAGACAAGTATAATTTATAAAATCTATAAAATCTATAAAATTTAAACGTGTATCCTTTTCTTGAACCTGATGATAATGATGATGATATCGTAGAGAGCGCGATGATACGAAAACACAGCGCATTACAAATATTGTGACAAACGCTTTCAAGTCCGACACCGATAGATACAATTTGGTAAAGTCGTCATCTTACGTATAGGAACCAACGGAGAAAAAAAGATACACACAAGAGGAAAAGAAGAATGAGAAATGGGAACACGTGAAGCTAGCAAAGTATTCGTGGAAGGAAGGAGCGCCACGGGGGGGGCGGTCGCAATGTTTGACAGCCACAAGAGACTCGGTGACTAATTATTGTAAAAACTAACCCCCGGCCCGCAATCCGATACCCTCGTTCTTCCCTTCGCGCACTCATGCGCGCATATGCTTCACGATGGAATACGTATTGGTAGATTTAAACACACATACGCGCGGCACGCACGCATACACATTCTACGCGAGAAAAGCGTGTGTGGCCTCCGAAAATCAGAACGGCCCATTTTTCACAAGCAAAATTTTCTATACCGACAGTTTTCTTTAACGATATTTCGATATCCCTCTTATCACTCTTTATTACAAGTTTGCAATAATTTCTTCTTTAACATTCCGACTGATATTTGTATCAGTCAACCTTCAACTTACCCTCAACTCAATATTTAAATGTCATATTTTTTGCAATCTTTTGTTAAACTTAACTTTAAACATTTTCATATCGTTTTAAGAGTTAGGATAATTTTGTGAGAATACAATGTTTTTGAAAAATTAAATAAATAAAAAAGCCTTCCCGAGAAGAATGACCACGTATACGAATGTATGCGCTTATGATCCCGCGCGTTCGATCGATTATTTCTCTAAGATGTTAGTCATCTCCTAAGCACAATAATTATTTTCTAGAGTTTATTAAAATTTTATTTTACATTTTTATTTTTTTTGCTCCCGTGTGTTTACCTTACTCGAAGATAAAATTGGAGGTAAAATTTAAGGCGACGAAGAGGTCTCTCTCTGGTCGCCTATCCGGAAACATCTCGCGATAGTGAGTTCGTCAATGAAGAATGAATGTCGGCGGGCGAGCATTCCTGACCCGCCTAGAGCGAGTTTTTACGATTTTTTACGATTTTTTACGCGGCCCGGTGCCACATTTTTCGGTGCGCAATTAAAGGAACAAACTGCTCTGTGTATAACGCGAGAACGCGGGAAAAGAACGACCGCTCGCCACGGGCCGTGCTCCTCAGAGGTCCTCTTGCGCGAAGAAAGAGCGATACATTCTTGGGAGAGAAAGGCGAGCAGAGAATTTCGTTCCAAATTTCCTCCTTCTCTACATCCTTGAAGATGTTTCGAACGTCGGACGACGATAAATCATTTTACGGGAATGTCGTTGTTTAAATTTGTAATGCGATAAAAATTACGCAGATTATTATTATGTAGAGGAACAGAGTATATATTTCATTGTCAACAGTATAATCGGAAAGAAAGATATTTACAAAAGTGCAATTTGAAGAATCAATAACAAAACTCTCCTCTCCAGTTTAAAATAGAATGAATCGCATAGAATGTAGAAGAAAAGTCAGATCGTTTCAATTTGGCAGAGTGTAAATAAAGATATATAAATAAAGTGATGCTTTGCACAAGATGAAATATGATTGCACACTTTACACACAATGAAAAGAAAAATATAGATATTGAGGAAAATATAAATAAATATAAATATTTTGCTGCCATAACATAAGCGAGTTGTTATACTTTTGATCAAAAGAAAATGAACTAATCTGATGAAAAGTGAGTCTTATCAACTAAAATAGTAAAATTGGATAAAATTGGGGTAAAATGTCAAGCAATTTATCGCGTCAGGTATCGTAAGTAGAGTACAGACAGATCTCGTTTAGCGTTTATGCTTGCCAAGTGCGATGTAATCGCGCTGCTATTATCATTCCTCAATCATTTTCACGTAAAGAAATGTCGTATCAGATTCGAGTTTTGAAAGAGTTTTACTTGGCTCAGCTGACCTCCTTCTAAGAAACGATCGACACGTGCCTGCATGTGTCGGCATGTCGCGTCGTTTCGTTCATCGGTATGCCACGACATCGCAACGCAGAATTTGTTTCGCGATGATCGGCTTGATGAATTTGGCACGAACGTGGTCGTGAGAAATTATTTTAGGCTCCCTAGATTCAAAGGCTTTATCGCAGATACATATGGACGCGGCACCGCTACCGCGATCGAAAAGATCGAACCCCGCGCATTCGCGATTGGACTGTGGTCGGCTGTGATCGCTTAAATTTAAAGAATCTTGACAATTTACATCCAATAGATAGATAAAGTTAACGAAAGCAAAAAGTACAGATATAAAATTTCAAGAAGGCACGATTAAGAATTTTTTTATAATCGTCAGCGAAAAATAAAAATTCTTCTTTCTTAACGAAAAGAAACACAAAGAAAAGCTCGTGAGACCCGATGGATGAGAAAGAGGATATATATA